TAGTCTTTCAAGCTTTCTAGGGTGCAGTCACACTCATCATCCCACTCAAACTTTGCCTTCTGTGCCTGGAAGAACGGTTGACACCTGTCTGACGATCGACTTATGAATCGGTTTAGCGCGGCTACCAGGCCAGTGAGATGCTACACCTCCTTGACTGTGTTGGGCCTCTCACGATCTTGAATGGCTTTGATCTGAGACGGATCAGCTTTTATACCTCGGTTGGTCACTAGAAAGCCAAGGAATTTTTCTAACCCCACACCAAATGCGCACTTGGATACGTTCAGTCACAGTCCATGGGTTTTCAAAATTTGAAACATCTCAGCTAGGTCCTTAAGATGGTCCCTCTCATTCTTACTATTGACCACCATATCATCTATGTAAGCTTCTATTGTTTTTCCTAACAATGGCTCAAACATTTTGGTGATCATCCGTTGAAATGTTGCCTCCTCATTTTTTAGGCCAAAGGGCATGACCTTGTAGCAATATAATCCCCTAGGTGTTGTAAACGACGTGGCCTCCTAGTCCGGTTTATACATAGCGATCTGATGGTAACCGTGATACGTATCAAGAAAGCTAAGTCGGTTATGCCCTGCAGTTAGGTCCATCAGTTGGTCTATTCGTGGTAGAGGAAAGCTGTCTTTCGAGCATGCTTTGTTGACTGTTTTGTAGTCCATGCAAATGCGCCATTTGCCATTCTTTTTTGGTACCACAACCGTGTTGGAAATCTACTTGGGATAGTGTACTTCTTTGATTGCCCCTGCTTCTAGCAGGTTTCCTACTTCTTCTGCCACTACCTCTGCGTGGTAGAGTGCCGATCAGCGAGTTCGCTGTATAATTGGTCTAGTGGTTGGGTGGACATTTAGTTAATGACAGATGAAGTTGGGGTCAATGCCAGGCATGTCATACGGCGTCCAGGCAAACACTTTGATATTAGAGGTAAAAAATTCCATGATCTCTATTCTCTCAGTGTCGGACAGAGACAAGCCGAGCAAAAAGAACCTCTCTGGGTTTTTCTCATCTATCCTTACCTCTATCAAGTCTTCCACTGCCTTCTGTTCAGCTGCCTTGCTGACATTTGCGAACAACTTGTTGCTTTCTGGCTCCTCTACCATTTGCATGAACCCTTTCGTAGCCCGGCTGCCTTTTACTATTACGAAGCACTGCTTGGGCATGATTTTCTCTTCCAAGACTTCTTCAATCATTCCAACTTTGCTGGGGAACTATAACACCTGGTGGTAGATCGATGCCTCCTCTCGCATGGCATGCAACTATGCTCTTCCCAAGATTATGTTGTAAGTGGATGGGACTTTCAATACCCAAAATTCCACTTGTTCTGTCATTGTTCCTGCTTTGACTGGTAGAATTATCTTGCCTACTGGCCATTATAGCATCGAGTTGAAGCTGACCAGAGGGGATGTCGTGGGTGCTAGATCTTTGTCCTCTAACTTGAGTTGTTTGAAGGTCTCATAATACATTATCTTGTATGACTGCCTTGGTCAATTAGGATCCGTTTGACGTCAAAATTCTTGACGCCCAGAGTCACCACTAGTGCGTCGTTATGAGGGTTTTATAACCTTACTAAGTCCTTGTCAGAAAAAGCGATGACGTTTTTAGCCTCAATTTTTCCTTTTTCATGGTAGGTTGTGCACTCAGTACCTCTCTCATGTGCTTTTTGATCATCCCTTTGAGTTCATATTCTTTTTTAGGCTTGATGATTCCATGTATCACATTGATTATGCTTTGGGGCGGATCGTCAGCTGACGTCCCAGCTAGCTTGTTTCGGTCCTAGGGGGCTGGCTGTGCTCCCCCTTCAATATATTGGTCAAGGTGGCCTGCGGCCACTAACTCCTCCAGATGTTTCCTTAATGGCTTACTGTTTTCAGTTCGGTGCCCCTTCTTATCATGGAGGGTGCAACGGTACCTATCGTCGTAGCCCCTCTATGCTTCTCCCAACTTGGCTGGCCGCCGAATGAAGGGTTCGTCGTGTATCTCGCTAAGAATTTGATAGATATGTTTATTGAACACCGTAGTGATGGCGGTTCGGACTCTCAACTTCCTTGCTTGGGAGTCCTCTTGCCTGCCCTTACCATTTTTGTTCGGTCGTTTTTCCCAGCCGACGTGTTGACTTTTGCCACAGGTTTTTTGTCTGACATCACTGTTGTACTAGATTTTGCTTTGGCGCGAGCGCCATCTTCTTCTACCTAGATGTGCTGATGTACTCTTTCCATTAGGGCCTCCACTGTGAGGGGTGGCATCATCGTCAGTAAATCCCTTAACTTATTGCCTGCCGGCAAACCCCGTTTGTATTGTGCTATAGCGAGGTTTGTGGGGAAATCTCTAATCTGATTAAAAGTTTCCTAATACCGATTGTTGTAAGACTTCCATATTTCCTTCTCGCTCATGTCTATGGAGAGCAGCTGGTCAATCTCCACCGGTGTCTTGGCGTTTGTTCTAAATCTGGTGACAAATGCCTCCGCAAGTTGCACCCAGGAAGCTATGCTGCCTTCTGGCAACCCCTCAAACCATACCAAATCCAAGTCACATAGGTTAGAAGGAAACGGGATACACATTAGTGCCTCGTTTCGTCGATATATTGCCATAACCTAGGGAAGGTGGCTCAAGTGCATATAGGGGTCCGACTTCCCCTCATAAGTTATGAATTTAGGCTGATAGAAGCCTAAGGGTAACAATGCGTTCTCAATTGCCAAAAATGAATGGCGAGCTCTGCAACCTTGCTACCACTTTGTTTCCTGGTTCATAAGCAAGACGTGGTACTGGCATCCCGACCTTGATAGTCCCATATGCCCTAGGAGCGAACCGTTGTAGAGCTGAGACCCTACGGGGGTCGCGAGCCTAGGTGTGCTCCCTCCTTCGAGCCCTTTCCTCTAGTACTGTTCGCAACTTTGCTGACCTAGGCAACTTCGTGTGTCTAGATGTCGTTTGGTGCGAATGTGAGGGCCAATAACTGCTTTCCTCGGTACAAGACCTTTCAGTCCTCATTCTCTCAGACGTGGAGAAACGAGTTCTAGAAGTCCTTGATTGTGTGTTGCCTGTCTTGAGGCTTCTACTTTCGGCTTGTGATGGTGTGACCTGCCTATCACGATCTTCTGAGTGGCAAGAGTGCGTGTTGCCTTTGCGCCTCTCTTTTTCTGCCACCCCTTTGCCTTTTATCTGGTGCTTCATCGCCTCCATGTCTGCCGCCATCCTCTGTATCAATTCTTCTTGCTCTCTTACGTGATCTTCCAGAACCTGAGGATCCATCCTCTGCCTCTGTCTGTCAAGGCTTTGGGAGTGATGAGGACTTGAGCCCCGTCTTTCTCGTGTGTCTCTCCATGGGTTAGGTCGCGGGGGATCTAATTCTGCCATGGGTGAGACAAAAGGTAAACCTTCGCGTCTCCCGCCCCCTTCCAGGGTTTGTCCATCAATATCAAAATGTGGCAAGTCTTCATTGTGCGCCATTGAATTTAGTTGAAGAGGAAACTCAATCAAAAGGTTTGTTTTCTGTATGCTTCCCACAGACGGCGCCAATTGTACTAGCACAAAATAATTTTCTTGTATAATCCTGTTGATCAAGTTTGCACTTCTCAAAACGTCATCACTTTACTACTTGAAAACACAAATGTGAGCTAGTAAGCGGGTGTGTGCCGGAAACCTCTCCGATGCCTAAGTCAGCAAAATTGACAGTAGACACAAAAGCTCTGTATATTTGAGAGTAAGAATTGTGATATCTCTACATAGGTCTTGCTATGAGCTTTTATAGATTTTGCCTGGCACAATCCTAGTAGGACTCTAACTATCCCTAGCAGAGTCCTCCTAGGAATCACTCTTATAAGGATAACATATATCCTTATAACACCCTACTCACTGCCAACCAAGTGAGATGGTTGCTACTCTTTTACACAAGCTGGTAGCATGGTAAACCGAACTAAAACAACCCTGTTCTGAGTTTTGAACAATGAAAAGGACGCTCTACTGAGCTGAAATCAGTTCGGTCCTTTGCCTCGGTCATGCTACAGTCCCTCCTAGATTTAAGTAACCCGGTCCAACTTTTAGCCGAATATCTGCCCGGCCTATGACCGAGCTACTTCATTTAGTGCCTCGGCCCACAACGCAGCCCAATGACCAAGAGACTGCACCTAGCTCGGTCCATTGTAACAGATGCACTTAGCTCGGCCCATTATAAATTACTCTCTCAAGTTATTAATACAATATTTGAAAATTGGATTTCGCACTTAATATTTTAAGTGATTTCCATCAGAAAAAATTAGTAATTTTAATTTTTATTTATATAAGCAAATTTTGTGTAGGTACAAGCCAAAATAAAAATTATTATTATTTTCTCAATATATATTTTTAAAAAATATGAGTGCCGGCCCCAACTAAGAAAGTCTAGAAGGCTTGCTTGTAAATCAATTCTCTCATTATAAATTCATGATTAGCTTACATATGAAGAGAATTTTCAAGGCAACACTGACCTACCCTCTTGATATAATACCCTCTTGATATAATACTCCATCTAATATTAATATACAATGCACTGACGTCGACATTTACAACGACATATCCACTTGCAGCAAATGGTTTCAAAAAATAAAAAAATAATAATTTTTTTTGTTCAAAAATATTATTCGTATATACATTTTTAGGATAAATTATAAATACATTTCATTATGTTTGTTTAAAATACAAATTATTCCTTATAGCTTTAAAAATTATAAACATCCCCTTAAACGGGAGAAAATAGTGCGAAACATCTTCTGAAGATAGACTTTGATCTTTGTATATTATTTTTTATTTTTTTTGTGTATAAATTAAGCTTTTTGTTTGGGAATTAAAATTATTTATCAAACTTTCACAAAAATTGTTGATGACAGCCATATAATGATCCCCAATGGCCACTACCAGTTGTAATTATAAAAGGTTGATCACTTTCCTCCTCCTTAATTAGCACTAATTCAGTATTATTTGCAGTGCCTTTGAATCACAAAGTCTTTCGGGTCATGGCTTCGACTCAACAAAAGTTGAATACGGCTGCTGAAGCAGAAGACATCAATGGCTTGTACAAGTGCATAGGAGAAGACCCACATATTTTGGATCATATAGATAACATTCCTTTTGTTGATACTCCTTTACACACAGCCGCCTCAGCTGGACGTACCAATTTCGCCTTAGAAATGATGAACTTAAAGCCATCGTTTGGCAGGAAGCTGAGCCCGGATGGGCTAAGTCCCTTGCACTTGGCTTTGCAAAATCGACACTTTGAGACTGTAAGACAGCTCATAAGTTTTGACAAGGAGCTCATACGCGTCAAAGGAAGGGAGAGCATCACTCCTTTGCACTATGTAGCCCAAGAAAATGAGAGGCAACTTTTGGCTGAATTTCTATGTGATTGTCCGGCAGTAATAGAGGACCGAACATTTTGCGGTGAGACTGCATTGCATATTGCTGTGAAAAGATTGAATTCAGCAGCCTCTCAAGTGCTGTTGGGATGGATGCGCAGAACCCATAGGCGAAAGATCCTAAACTGGATGGATAATGACGGCTTCACAACCTCAGGCATGCTATCTATCTATTCATCGCTTTTCATCATTGTTTTAGGGACCAAATTGGACATTTAGTGCAAATTATTATACTTTGGGATCAAAATTTTGTCAACAAAAGTTTTTTTTTTTTTCACTTTCTAGGTGACCATTTAGCGACGATCCTCCTACAACAAAAATTAGTTTCCAAATACTTTTTGCAACAAAATTTTCACTTTTAGGAACAAAAATATCTTGTCCCTAAAATTCTATATATTTTAGTGAATGGTTTAATCTCAACCAAAAAATTTTTTTGTCCACAACTTTGTGCACTAATATTTTTTTTTTTTTGATAATTCATACCCGTCCAATTAAACCGACTAATCCAAGACCAATCCCACCGCCTGGGGGGTCTTTGTGCACTAATCTTTATTGCCAAACATTAAGACACAAAAGTCGATAGATTCCACATATGATTGTACATAATTTTTGAAGTATGTATAGTCCCTTGTGCACTATGGTTAATAAATTATTGACTTTGTGCACATCTGGTTTGTGCAGATTGTGAAGTTAATACTTGATCAAAACTACAATAACAGAAATGCAGAGAATTTCAAGGGCTTCACGTCTCTAGATCTCGCAAGACGATTTGATAGTGAAGAAATTCATGATATTTTCCTCAGCACAAAAGTTTCTTGTGGTTCATCATTTGCTAAGGATATCTATAGTCTAACTGATTTTTTAGAGTCAGGTGATGGTTTTTTTGAAGTTATACGTGGATGGATTTTTAGAGTGCGAAGTGGTATGCCATTGGAGATTCCATTTCTCAGTTTGGTACTACTATTAGTGGGTGTTTTGGAAGTAATATATGGATGGATTGTTAGAGCTCAACAAGGGCTACAATTCGTAGTTTCCAAATGCCCACTCCTACTATATGTACCATTAGTAAGCATTGTGTTCGTAGTTATAATTATGGGTGATTTTATTCGTGACCCCACCATCACGTCCTCAACGGCCACTTTCCAAACAAGTCTTAGCCCTCCAAGCGGAGTTGTTGATATTGATAACAATCATAATCTTCCCATTAATAACGCCACCACAATGTCCACAACAACGGGCACTTTCCAAACTGGACTTAACCCTCCAGGTCCTGGCAGAGTCGTTGATCACAGTCATAATCCTCCTACTTCCAACATAACCGCTGCTTACCCTATGCTCTTAATTGCCATGATTATAATTGCCGTATCAAGTCCTTGGGGTCCTGTGTTCGGGGTTTTCATAATCTGTCTGATGATCAGCTGCAGGTTTTTATTTGCCTACATATCACCATCATTGTCACCCAGTAGCATTTTTGGCTATCTACCCTTTTGTGCACTTTTGGCTTGTGCCGGTAGTTTCCTTTTCAGTTGCTTCTGGAATGATACCATATACTGTTTCCTGTCAGACCCTAAGAATAAACACTTTCAGATGCTGCAACGCTTGTTTGATGAATTAAATTAAACAAAAAAAAATTCATTGAATTGGTGAACCCAAAAACATACATGGGAGTGGTGGTGCATAGATTCTTCAAAAAGACATCATCTCTGATCACAAGTTGTCTGCAAATTACCATCTGCCTTTTATCAATTCAGCTCTCAATTTGTGCTTCACCAGGGAGCTGTTTATATGTTTTTTTGTTCTATGATCACCATCATTGTCACCCAGTAACATTTTTTACTATCTACCCTTTTGCGCACTTTTGGCTTGTGTCGGTAGTTTCCTTTTCAGTTGCTTCTAGAATGATGCCATATACTGTTTCTTGTCAGACCCTAAGAATAAACACTTTCAGATGCTGCAACGCTTGTTTGATGAATTAAATTAAACAAAAAAAAAATTCATTGAATTGGTGAACCCAAAAGCATACATGGGAGTGGTGGTGCATAGATTCTTCAAAAAGACATCATCTCTGATCATAAGTTGTCTGCAAATTACTATATGTCTTTTATCAATTCAGCTCTCAATTTGTGCTTCAACAGGGAGCTGTTTATATGTTTTTTTTTTTTGTAAAAAGGGATAGATAATATCATGGAATTATGAACGTGTGAATTTATCAGTTCAGCTCTAAAATTTGGAATGTGATTCCAATGGCAGTCCTTTGATCTGTGTGGAAATTAAGAAACAATTGAATTTTCAATGGATAGCAGGTGGATTTGAGTGCTTTGTGCGAACTTATTGAGGTTAGAATTGCTCTTTAGATTAAATTTCATTATCCAGAGATTTTCTTCTTGGTGGATGATTTAATTATGAAGTAATATTAGATTCTGTATTGGATGAAGGTGTCATTGTGTTGTCTGTCTGGCTCAGAGGCAAGGCATGATCTTGGGGAAGTTCATGTGTCTGGCTGTGTTCTTTTTCCACTGTGTTTTACCTCTGTTTTTATACTGTTTGCTGTGGTTTTGTTTTTTTCCTCTGGTTGGTCTCTCACCAACTTGTCGGTGTGGAGCTAGCAGATGATTGGGTTTGCGAACAATGCTACATACCCTAATTTATCACCCTTAAATAACCCCTAATGATATAACATTGAGGTTAGACTTCACATGATCATGAAATGTTTGACAAATCAAAATTTAATATTTATCAGACACATCATTAAGGATGATTTTTAGGGGTGATAAATTAAGTGCCTCAAACATTTTTCATAAATGACTTAGTAGATTTTGATTTTTTTATACATATGGCTCAATGACAAGTTGCCACCTACATGGGGCACTAGGTTTTCCTACAACCCATACAACAGGAAATCTTTCTCCTTTTAGCTTGTAGATCCAACTTTATTTTTCAACCTGTGAATAAACTTCCCAATTCTTGCTCGATTTCTTTGTCTTCTTTCTCTCTTCAAAGCTTGAATAAGATGTCGAGGGCGGTCTGATTATTTCCATTTACAGCATTGACATCCAACTGAGTTCCGGGTGCTGGATTCTTGCTAAGTAATATCTTAATTATCTGTAAATATGGAAAGCTTTTTTGTTAAGAAAATCATGCAAAAATGGAGTCAATTACTAAATCCAAAACAACCATCAATTTCTTTTAAGTCAAGGTGGAACAGAGGATGTAGTTTTATGCTTTTTTTTTTTTTTGTTTCAGTCCAAGACATTTTCTAGAAAGAATTTTTGGCATTTTCTGGCATTTCGTATAACAAAAAATGAAAGTTAATGGATTTTTTTTTTTAAAAGGAAATTTATTTTGGCAAAAAATAATTTTCATTTTAAAATAAATGGAAAACGTTTTCCCAATTAATCTAAATCTACCACACTAACTTTAGGGAATTCAGGCTCAATCTAAGTACAATTTGATTGCTTTCCTTCACCAAGATGATGTATTGGCAGTTTTAATTCTATACCAAACTATAATCAATATCGGTCAAGTCCGTAGAACTTAAATTAAAGTTAGTAGACAGGACCATAAAATATTAGTAGGTCATTTCCAAGTTGTAACAAAGTAGGGCAATTAATTAAGCAAAACCAAAAACCCTGTTCTAATTATAAAAAAAAAAAAAAATCAACTTAAAAAGAACTTTTAGCTATGTAAATTGTCCAATTCTTGGATAATCTCCTTGTTCTGTATGTGCTAAAGAAGAAACTTCCCAAATTATCTTCAAATATGTAATATTTGAAACAAAAAATACTCCATAAAATTTTCTTGGATTAGCGAGTCAAAAGAAAAAACTATAGAACAGTAAAAAAATCTAAAACCAGAGGGCCATGATGATTTACCTCATATTGCTTAGTGAATGTTGCAAGGTGTAGAGCAGTGTTGCCTTCTTTGTCCTTCCAGTTCAACACCTTTTCCCTCCTGATTTTCTCGAGTCCATCCTTTATTATCTCAAAGTCTTCCACTTCCCTCTTACTACAAGCAAAAGAACGCCACAACCTCTCTACTTCCTTCTTATCGAACAATCGTGCCAATTTTAATTGCATTCCTAACCGTTGTAATTTGGCACTTTCCAGTGCAAGCAGAAAGGCAGAGGCACCAACCTCGATGTCTTGAAGCTTTTGCAACCACTCAAACAACAATTTAAATGCTTCCAATTGGTTACTCCTCACTGCCAAGTGAAGTGCGGAAAATTATTCAATACTCTAGGAGCACCACGTGGCCATACTCCGAACCAATCACCAATTACTTAGCCCATGTTGTTCCCCATCTCCAACATGAATTGTAGGCCCTTACGCTTCTCCACCAATCAAAACCTTATAGAGCACCACTTGTCCGTACTCCGGGAGTACTGAATAATCACCCGTGAAGTGCAGTCTCATTCCAAATTGTCAACTCCACAAGTGACTATGGACAACCGTTCAGCAAAAGATTGATGACATCGGTGTGGCCAGCCATGGCAGCGCAATGAAGCGAAGTTGTCTTCTCTTTTCCCTTTAGTAGGCAGAGTTTGGGATAAATTGTTATGAGTTGTTTCACAATCTCTGGTTGTCCGACCATTGAAGCCAAGTGAATGGGGCTATACCCATACTATTTAGCTTGACTACAAGTGATGGTTTGAGGGTTGTAATCTCGTTCGCAAAATGGGTTTGGTTGGCTGATATAGCAACATGTAAAGGAGTGTCCACAAAGGGGACTTGATCAATCTTATCAAGAACAAAAGGGTCTTGTTGAATTAAGTTGTAGGGAGCTTCTACATCACCAGTTTGAGCAGCACCTATCGATCTCTCATCCATTTTCTCTTTAGAACGAAACCCAGAAATTAGAAGAAATGACATTTTTATAGCATAAGTTGTTGGCCTAAGTTGTTTAGTTAAACAAACAAGGTATGTGTGTCTAACAAAGAAGATTCATGGATGATCACCAATGATCATTGACCAGGTGAAATTGTCAATACCATTTCCAATCAATCAAAATTTGTTTTCGAATTAACAAACAGAAAACTAATATGGTCTACTTCTCATTTAAAAATCGACCACTTAAGCTTAGGCTTTGATGTTCAACAATATTAAAAATTACTCAAGATGATATTTAAATAAAAATATTATAATCGTTCTCAGTGTGATGTTTAACTTCTTAGTAATTTACAAGAAAAAAAGGATCAATATAATCCTTCTTAGCTCCTTTGTCAATGTTAGAAATCTTTTTATGGTCCTTCTCGGTTGATACACGGGTAATAGTCCTATTGGTTCTATTAACTAACCATAGCTTTCATAATTGAAGTAAAGTGATTACTATGTGTGTAATTCAAGCAGAACTGGGCCTCCTTTTAGTCATCTATGTATAGAGTGGAGGGTGTTGTTCAAGTCTGACCTGAGTCCGGTTTGATCATTCGAATCGTTTATTTTATAGAATTTTTCTTATATATTATTCACACAAAAAATTAAGTTGATATGATAATCATAACATATTCAATTTATCGTGTTCGTCACAAGAAAATAGATATCTATATTTTAAAAAACAATTATCGTCAATTTTTTTGTGACAAATGTAATAAATTGAATAGATTACAATTATCGAATCGACCTAATTTTTTGTGTGGATGATATACACGAAGTGCTTGACAAAATGAATAATTTGGATCATCAAAACGAAACCCGTGATGAGTCCCATGAGCTTGAACAGCGCCCTCCAATCCAAATTTTACACTACAGGAATTGACCTCCATTCAACAAAGGATTAGGATGTTCAAAATCTAAACCTTATCGTTATGCTTGGATTTGTGGGATCCTCAATTATTTGAGCCATTTATTTTAGGGAGATTTATTTATTAATCCCATTTAATAGACTTACAGTCTAATAAATTCATAAAGTTTTTTAATATTCCATCAAGTCCTATATATTTAAACTTATATTTCAATAGGTCCTTTTTTCCATATTAAACCTACTATGTAGACTATTTTATCCTTATACATTTTTATTATAATATATAAGAAAATAATACCATATATCTAGGAGAGATAAATCAATTATTAGATATATTTTATTTGTCGTATATATAAAACATTGTATATAGAATATGGAAGATTATTATTCTTAATATTTTCTTTGCCTCAATGTGAGGGATTCACTCAATCTAGGATCTTTCTTCACCATTATTTTGCATTAAGGTCCTACCATGGAAAAATATTTAGAAGAGAGGGTTAGCTGTAGACTAATAATAGAGATGATGATGGATTCACAATAGAGGTGATGGTAAACTAGTGATGAACAATCATTTTTTGCCACTATTACACATAAATTGTAGTCTGTTTGTCGATTTGTATAGTCACTAGTATTATGTAGTTTATTCACCGGTATTATACCGGCATAGATTATATACAAAATTTTCTAAAAAGGTGCGTCAATATATATGAATTATTTGATGATTTTTATATATTATTTGATAAGCTTTTGCATATTGTTTGTTACTATGCTTGTTGTTTGAAAAATCATTTTTTGTTGCCAATAAACAATCGGAATAATCAAATTTTTTTGGTCATTTTTTAATAAATCCTCTTTCTAAGTGTTTTATTCCATCTAATCCATATTCTTTTTGAATATTCCATTAGATCATGTTTAATGTAGTATGACCAAATCACTATTTTAATTTTTTACACATGTTTCTATTTTGAAACTAATATACAATAAAAAAATAACAATAAACTCTCATTTCATGGGAAAAATCTCTCCCTCATTTTAAGGACGAAAAACTTAAGTGATTCGTGATTAGATCAATAATAATTGTACCAAATCCCAAACGATTAAAATCAATAATCTAAATCATCTAGCACATACAAAAGTGATTTAGATTGTCGTTTTAGAAATAATAAATCGACGCAAACAATTTTTACGTGGAAAAACCACAATTGGAGCATCTCCAATTGTGATTAAAAAATCACGAGCGAAATGCCACTAATCAATCCACTGTGAAAGGAAGAAAGAATACAAATTTTACCAAACAAATTACCCAAACTCTGACAATTTATCTTCAACAATCTGTATCTCTTTCACTGCAGCCTTCGTCTCGGAATTGATCAGTTTGATGTTGAATCCACAACATCCATTGTCGAATCAACGACTGCACACAGCATCAAACTCTTTCGAGTACTCTATGCTTGAATCTCTGGATTCCACCGAAGAACACTCTTGAAGTCGAATAATCAAACAACTCTTTGATGTATGCTCGTCAAACCATGAGTATAATACTCAATCAAACATCAAAGAAAACTAGCAAAATAGCCCTAAAAGAAAACCCTAGAACCCTCAAGGAAGATTTGGAAGCCGTGCCCTAGATTCGGAGTAGACAACATCTTTATAGTAGCTGGAATGGTCGCTCGAGTAGGGATGCTAAAACGCGTGTTCCAAACCAAGGTTCACGCTCGAGCACAGGAACTTATGCTTGAACGTAAAATCACACCTCGCAACATTTTTTCAAACAAGCTGAAGTATTGCAAAGGTGGAAAACTCCGCTCGAGTGGGAAGACCAAAAACAGAGGAAAAATTACAACTCAAATAAACAAGCTTGTTCTCGGAATTGGCAACTAGTAAGGACCTAACAATCTCCCCCTTTGTCAATTCCAAGACAACTTTTCTAACAATTTTTCCTAACAAACACAATCAAGAGCTCCCAAACTACAAAACCACAAACACTAATTTGATTGAGAAACACTAAGAAACATTTTGAACAATCCACCTGTGGAAAAAACCAAAATACCACACAAACCAAAACTGTGGAACGAAATAAGATAACGAAGATAAATAGATAGGAATAAGAAAAATATCCAAATATGTATAACCAAATCTATCTATGCCAAAATTCCAATATATCCCAATATTCATGTACATTCCCACAAAGCCCAATCATAAACCCAAATAACTACTCCCCATTTTTGTCCGGCAGACAAGCACAAGCACAAAAAAAGAAAAAAAGAAAAAAAAGAGAGAATAAACAGTGCAAAGAAATATACTGCCCAAGGAAACAAGAAACATGCATCATGGAGCTGGCAGAGGTGAAGGCTGCATCATCGCAAGCAAGGACAAAATCTGAGCAAGATGCTGGGAAGACTGATCAATCGACTGCTCAATGCGGCCAACAGATGCCTCCAAGGCAGTGAGCCGTGAGTCTGTAGAGGTCTCCAAGTCGGTGAGACGGGCATCAAAGATATCCATCCGACTCTCCAACCGGTCAAAGCAGGACACCATTGCATGCTTTAACTGTCGCAACTGACCTCTGATATAACGAAAAGGAGGAAACTGCTCCCCCTTACCTGCAGCCTCACCAGCAGCAACATCATACTCTGTTTCCTCAACTAGAGGATCATCACCTGTAACAGAACCACCCACTCCAGAAGGACCCCTCCTTGACATGGGACTGACTATGGGAGACGGTCTTTTTGGCAAATGGTCAGGTAGGAAAGGCAAACTCATCCTTTTCAAAAGTAGGAACTTCAAGTTTGGTGATAAGACGGTTAATCAGGAAACCGTAAGGAAGACCTAAGTTGTTTTGCTCAAAAGCGACTACCATTTTTTGAATAATGAGGGTGGCAAGATTTATAGAGAGATGGTGATCAATGCAGAAAAGAACAAAACCTTGTTCTTGATTGATTTCAAAGCTATGAGTGGTGACTATGACATTTGCACAGACAATAAGATTGAGCAAGCGGAATCAGGGAAGGAGCTCATTTTGTTTTATCAAGGCTCCCTTGATCCAAGTATGGGGTGAGCCACACAATGCAGTGGTCACCTCGTTGAAGTCACAGGTGGGTTGGATAGGGAAGGGATAGTGACACGAAAAGACACGGGCTATGCCTAATAGCTCGCGGATAAGATCAGGGGTAATAGTGATGGACTAAGACCTACTCCATGTCTTGAAAGAAGGGTTGATATCATCAATACCTTCGATGTTAGAAGAAAATTTTCGGACCCAATCAGGGTTCTGATGATGTAATAATCCCGACCCCTGATTAACGTTAATTCGTGCTTAATTATGCCTAACAATAATTTAGGAAGGATTTGGAACTAAATTGCACGTGTGATTGCATGATTTGGTGTTTGTATCTGTTCAACATAGAAATATATGTTCTCGTTGGAACTTCGATCTGCAAATTGGAAGCCTTATTGGCAACCGATTCTGAAAGTGATTAGTGTTTTATACTAGTTAGATTTTATGTGATTTTATGGCAGATTTAATTAAAATTCAATTTGGAATTTTTAAATTAGATTAAATAATGTTGAATTGCATTAGTTGCTTAATTACACAAATGCCACTTAGTGGCTTGGTTTGAGACCAACCTTTATTACACCTTATTACATATTGATGCATCATTTTCTTCAGCCACTTCCTAGACAAAACCGAAGGAGAGAGAGAGAGAGAGAGATAAGAGAATTTGGTCCATCAAGATTTTGGCTTGGAGAATTTAGAGGAATTGTAGGAAGATTGCATAATTGAGCCTCCATACTTAGAGTTCAAGACATAAGGTAGGAGATTCTTTCTTTTAATTGTGGATTTAACCTACTCATGCATGAATTCAAGTAATTAAGCTACAAGATGTCAGAATCAAGCTTAAGGAGTAGGAAAGTTAACCAATCCATGCATGCATGCATAAATTCCCATGTTTTGAGTTTAATTTTCAAAGAATTCCTTCATGCATATGTGGATTCCATTCTCATCTTGGAAACATAATGAATTTCATGTTGTTTAGTGGCATTTGATCATGTTTTGGAGGGCCTTAGCCCAAAAATGTGCATGCATGTCATGTTTTTGAATTGATTTTGAGTTTCAAGTTGAATCTTGTAC